AGGAGTTGGAGGTTGCTGTGAGCGAGGCTGATGCCACAGCACTCTAGCCCGGGCGACAGAGCCAGACTCTTGTCTCCAAAAAAAAAACGAGTCGCATAAACACACAAAATAATTTCAGAACTGTGACAGTCATACTACTACAAACATTAAGCTTACCAAGTAGAGTCTTAAGATTCGTTTGCAGTTCTTTTGTGTTTCGACAGAATTCTTATACATTGTTGACGTGCTGTGTTCTTAAGGTACTTGAATTAATTTTTATTTTTTACCTTGTTGCTCATTTGAAATGTTAGGTTCACTTACTTGTGTTTGAATTTTATTCTAGTTTCCTCCTCCATAGTTGTTAATATTTCATTTTGGTTACGAATAAACAAGGTTCTAAATTCAAAATTCTAGGCCGGGCGCGGTGGCTCACGCCTGTAATCCCGGCACTGTGGGAGGCCAAGGCGGGAGGATCGCTTGAGGTCAGGAGTTCGAGACCAGCCTGAGCAAGAGTGAGACCCCGTCTCTACTAAAAATAGAAAGAAATTAGCTGGGCAAAATTCTAAAGTGGTGCGGTTTCTTCCACCATATCCCACCCCTCCCTCATAGGTAAGCAATTTCATCAGTGTCTGGCTGTCTTTCCTGATTTTCTTTTTTCTTTTTTTTTCTTTTTTTTTTCCCCAAAAATAAGCCGCTATTTTAACTCTTCCTTCCTCTTCTTACGCAAAATGCAGTAACTATATATATTTTTGTCCTTTTTTTTTTTTCCAGTCAAATAATCCTGCGAATCACCTATATGGGGGCATACAGATCTTCCTTGATCATTTTTTAATAGCGGCAGAGTCCTCCTTAGATGGATCAACCGTAGATTACTCTCCGGTTTCCTGTGTATCTTATCTCCTTATTCTAAAGCTTTGCTGAGTTATTCAGCATGGAGTCAGTTGGGCGCCAAAGCAGCCATCCGCAGACTAGATTCAGGCTTTGAGCGGCCAACGACTTCGGAAACGGACCGTTGGTGGGAGATCATTCTGTAACGCACCCAGGGCCTCATCTAACGGGCCGCGCGTGGCAGGATAAGGAGCTGGGGCTTTTCCCCCCGTAGGCCCCGGAAAAATCCCCGGAGATTTTCAGGAGGAGGAAGATGCCCTAAACCTCCAGGTTAAGTGTCAGCCAGGCTCCGAGCCTCTCTGTCTTCCTAAGAAGGTGGCTGTTCTCCGTCGGGTGTGGCTGGTGGTGGTCAGGCGGTCGGTGTCCTTTGCGGGGGGTGGGGGGCGAGGTCAGAGCAGGTCCACGCCTGGATGCTGTCCCACGTGGAGCCTGTGCTTCCCGCAGGACCCAGCGGCGGAAGCCAGGATGAAGGTGGCCTGCATCACGGAGCAGGTCCTGACCCTGGTCAACAAGAGGATAGGCCTCTACCGCCACTTCGACGAGGCCGTCAACAGGTACAAGCAGTCCCGGGACGTCTCCGCCCTCAACAGCGGCAAGAAGGGCCTGGAGACGGAGCACAAGGCCTTGACGAGTGAGATCGCGCTGTTGCAGTCCAGGCTGAAGACGGAGGGCTCCGATCTGTGCGACCGGGTAAGCGTCCGGCGTCCCCGAGCCGCTCGCCGCGTGGCCTTCCGTGCCCCCACTTTTGGGGATCGTGCCCAGCCGTGCAGAGCACCACCTCGCTGCCCTGTCCGGGCTCACGTGCACCCCTGTGGGTCGAGATCGCACTTGACCGTGGGCTCGTCGTGTGGTGCCGGTTCTCGTGGTGGAACGAGACGTTTTGGGCTCACGGTTACGCGCTGAGTTTGCAGCAAGCTCTGCTAGTCCCTGCAGCTCTCTGTCCCCACGGCCGGGCTCGAGGGCGGCTGCTTCCTCTCCGGGACGCCAGACCGGACGAGGTCCCGGGTTGCTTATGGTGTAGTAGGAAGAAGCTAGAGGCCAGGTGTGGCAGCTCAAACCTGTCATCTCAACACTTTGGGAGGCCGAGGCAGGAGGATCGCTTGAGGCCAGGAGTTCAAGACCGCACTGGGGGC